ATCAGTAAAGCGTGAATAAGATTCAACGTCATATTGAAATTTAAGATATGTTATCCTGAATAAATGAATTACGTTGTTCGTGTTTTATGCAAAAAATAAAAGTACAAGAAAATAGTTTAAATATCGCCTTAGATTTGTTAATTTGCTAAGCACATCTTACGATTCACGGTAAAACGTAACGAAAATGATTTTATCATAAATACCGTTCATGTATAAAATATGAACACCGAACATTTCAAAGAATTTAATATCATATTTATGATAAAATTAAAGTGTTTCTTACACGTGAAACTATACATAGAAAATTTCTTTCGTCAGTTATGGTACGTCAAAACGAAAAACTTCAATACGTTCTAATAATTAACGATAATGTTCTTTTAAAATTAATTAAAATTAATATTTTACAGTTCAAATCAAAATTTACTGTGCGTCAAATATAAAATATACACATATATATATATATATATATATATATATATATATATATACTGAATGACAAATAGGATTATTATATAAAAATGTTATGTTAAAGTGATGATAAATATGAATGAATATTGTAGTTGAAAAACGATTGCGGATGTAAACAAATGGGTATGCTGCAAAAATTAGCATATTATTTTAAAACCTGTTTTTCCACAAATAATGCAATACAAATACCACACATAAAAATAATTAAGTATTACAGAAAAAAGTATTGTTAAATTAACTTATTTGAAACGCAGGGTTTCCAAAATGATAACAATAACGGGAAACACATTTACGATAAATAGCGCAAGAATGCTTTATAAGGTTGCTAGGTGTTTTATATACGCACATCTATGAACATTTTACTTATAACCGGTCTTGATATCAATCAATAATCTGGACTTCGATATAGGTCTTTAGACTTTAATATATAAATTAAATACGGTGAAATAGTTTAACGATTGGAATGTTTTCACCCTCTTATAAGAAACCAAAATGGCACTACTGATGTCACTACGATTAGTACCGACGCTTCGCAACAAACCATTGAAACCGTTTTTGCATTGGAGGGTAAGTTTTAATTTTAGGATATCAATTTCAACAGTTATTTGTTGTGATGTATGCAAAGAATCTTAACAAAAATAAAATAAATAAATAAAATAAAAATCCCATTTTTAAAATTTGATTTGCGGCAGTACAACGGTTTGTGTTAGAATGAATAATATTAGCAAATTAAATAGAATAAATGTTTCTTAAACTTTTATTTGCAAAACCAAATGACCAGTATAACAGAAAACTCATAGAGTATTGAAACTTGTGCGCTTTTTTGAAAATTTTTGTGCTAAGTTTCGAAAATCATATCCATTAGCCCATTAACATCTGCGTTTGATTCCTACTATATTATTAACGCAATTTTCTGGATAATTCGTAAAGCTTCGTCTGCCAAAAAAATAAAAAAAAATGACAGGTATATACGGGTTACATGTGAATATACGATAGTAACATTGCAGCCGGAATTTCATGTTTATATCTATTCCAAACCATTGTCATAAGGATGGGCCTGAATTAATAATACTCATAAATAGAAATAATATTATTTTACGGTTGTTGTAATATAACGGTGAGTGGGAGAGGGAGGGGGCTCCATTGTATTGTGTCCTTATCCTTTACACGTTTGCGGAGAACACTTTTATTTGGTACCGCACTACTGATTCCCCGATGAATAAATCATGATATACGCCCCCGTTTGAAATAAAAACAGTAACATTTGGATTTGCAATTTTTAAACAGTATTATAAAATCTGTCTGTGGCGTGTACGTTTTTTGTCCGTCCACTATATTCAAACGACCTATTCTGTTCTTGAACTCGAACACAATTACCATAGTGCAACTGTGTAACAGTTCTAACACTATATATAATAGTTTGCAATCATTGCTTATGAACTATTAACCGATCAAAATAATATATGCATTTAACACGACGGAACAACTATTAATATTGTTCGGAAGAAAAACGTGTGAAAACTAATTACGCATTTCGGATGTTTCTTGTGTTTTTAAAAATGTGAATAAATGCGCAAAGCATAACACATTACGAGCATGTATATTATTCTCTGTAGATAATCTTGATCCGTGACGAAATGGTCGTTACCTCTCAAAATATAATATTCTCTTTTTTAAGTTGCAGTTCACACTTCTGAAGGCTTAAAAAATCTCGAAAATATCGAGCTCTTTGATTTTGATCGAATCTCACGATTTCGATACCTGAATTATTTACAGGTCATTATCACGACTATGTATTGAATAATTTTTTAATAATTTATTTTGCGATTAAAAAAAAAAAAAATCAAATGTGATATCCTTCTGTGGTTTTCACCGGTGACAGTTATTGAATTGTGCAGTGCAAAAAGAAACCTAGTGTGTTTGTTTTTCATAGGTCTTGGACAGGCCACTAGTGATAAGCGTACGGGGAAAGAAAAATAAATAGAAATGTATGTAGGTCACTTTTAAAGGAATGAGTAACGATTGAATTGGATGTGAAAATTAAAAAGCAAAAGTATATTGTCGAATTTTAAAAACAATTCCGATTAAAGGTCGGTTCGATTATTCATAGAAATTATTTAAATCATAAAAACACTACTCTAAAAATTGTTGATTTATCTGACCAGCTGATTTGAGCCTTCGAAGAATTGAATATTGTTTGGCAGTGTCCATTTTGCATTACTATAAATACAGATATGTTATTGATGGAAAGGGAAAGGTATGATAATGTTATTTTTCTTGGAATCGATAATTTCTAATAATGCAGATGGAAGATCAATAATGTTCCAAATATAAAGCTCAAACACCATTATATTTCTTTCGAAATAAATAATTAATGTCACGAGTTAAAACATATAGTGTATGTAATTTTATTTGTTTTAACATTTGCTGATTTTTCAAAAATATTTTTCATAGCAATTATCAATATAACACAAATGACTGAAGTATATATTGAAAATTGTATTCAAGTAGTATAAATAACAGACTAAAAAAAATGCAAATTATATTAATAGTTTGAAGTTTTTAAAGAACCTGCTTAATTTATTTTTTCAATTTTTACCAGAAAAGCGCCAAATTAAAAATTAAACAAATAATATATCATCTGTCATTCTAATGAAATTATTTGATAAAGAATAAGGTAATTTAAATAACAAAATAATTGATTTTGTATAGCTTTAAATATTTAAATGCAGGTGAAAAGCCCTTATATTATATGTATATATATATATAAATGTTTTATTAAACAATAGATGGGAAAAAATATCAAAAAATATCAAATTAAATTGAAAACCTTCAATACGTTTTTCTTTTACCTAAAGTATAGAATTATTATTAAAGTATGTTCGGATCTCAGTAAAACAAACATCAATTTTAAGTTGATAATTGAAAATGTTCACTAAGTATAGAAAGTTTCTGATCTTGAGTCCATGGTTAATACCAGAATAAAACAGTTTTTAATAGATAACTAATATTTTAGTATTAGATGTGTACCGATTCGGGTTCTTACGCATGGATGTTTGTCAAATAATAAAATTTGTAATTACATTTTAGGGATTAAATAACATTGTTGCTTATAGTTACTTGAAATCGTTTATTACATACATAGTACATTCTAATGCTTTAAACGTTGACAGTGCTATCTCATGTATCAGAAAAACAAAAAATTATAATTTGTCTGAATATTATCAACGAACTATGCGTAAAATTGTAATATCTCGAATAAAAATACATATAACTATTTGTTATTAGTATAAAATCAAATTGCAGCGCACATTCTAGGGATGGTGGTTATGTTTCTAAAACAATTTTGTTTGATCGCTTGTAAATGAAAGTAAAGTTATTATCGCCATGGGAGATCAATGGCATGTTGTAACGGTGTGTAAGATATTTGTTTTGATTTTTCTTCTCCGCACAAAGTTTCACTCCACATGATGTCACATAAAAAACCGTAAAATCTTATAACATTAACCAGATCGTTCGGTTGAGTTGTCGCACGATAAAATATCAAATGTCAAACTCGCCAGTCCCGTTTCTGATAGTCTTATGTAAAGTTTTTAGTTTTTACGATTGTTTGCGCTAGTTTTAAAACGTTTAAAAAGCCGAAAACGAAGGATCAACTCCTCACTGAATATTTATAATTTATAATTACCTGACTTGTAATCTGTTTGTATTGCAATAACCTTAATTTTTATTTAATTTAATTTCAATTTTTAACAATCATGGACACGGATCCGTACACGCTGGTTGGTGAAAACCAACCATATATTCAGCAGTTAACGGCCGTTGCAGGTACATGGTAATCCACTTCAAATATCACAAAACAGTCAACTGTTTGATCGTTTCACACCACATAAGATCAATACGTCTGGATTATTAATTTAACTCTTTCAGTTACGGTGTGTTGACCTTTTGTCAAAAATAATGAAAAATAAAATATAAAATTAGAAGAAAAAAATTTATTTCGGTTTATTTATTTCCGAAATAAATTTCGGTTTTACAAAGCACAATTTTATCGGTCATAAATTATGAATTACGCCTCACGATATAGTAGTATTTACTCTCTTCAGATGTACAAACTTTTTCAATTAACTGTTTTACATTTTTAAGTACACTCATATTGTCATAATAATATATAGTGCTATACTGTGTAAGACAGCACGTGTATTTTGTAATAGTATACATCTCTGTACGATGTATATCATTGATTACGATTAAATTACGCAAAGTGCAAATTCGTTAACCTCGCGCGTTATATAATAATGATAATACACTTACGTCGACTTACTTCTACGTATACTTTTTATACTTCGATCGGAAACAACGCGCTAAGCCCAGGATAAAAATTATTAAAATGCAAATCTTTACATTCGAAGTATTACTGGGAAAAAAAATGAATATTGTTTTAGTTCCGCTTGAACGCACCGCGGTTTTTCGATCACTCGCCAACATTGTCACAATACCGTTTGTACCGTTCGCAAAAATAATCAATTCAGTTTTCAAGCCATAAATAATTATTATATTACTAAAAATTTACAACAGAAGACAAACCGAATAATAGTTATAGGTTTTATTTTTTTTTTTTTATAAGTTTTTATTTTTTTATTTTAAATGTAATCTATACCGTCCGGAAAATAAAAATATAATCATACAGTCGTTATAGTTATTCGAAGACCGAAACAAAATAACAACTAACCATATTAAAACAATCGAACAGAGTAAAACGTATATAAATATTGTATAATATTTTTTTGATTAAACATAGTATTTTATTGTCGATTAAAAACATATAAAGACTTATCGACGTCTACGACGTCCCCATCTAAGTGGTTGTCCAACTGGCCTGTTGCCCTTTGACGGAACATCCGTGTCCGGGAAAAACGAACTGAATGGCGATCGGATCACGTGTCTGCCGTTACCGCTCAACTGATTCCATGGTCTCCAATGTGTCAAGAACGAAAGAGCTCGTTTTCTGTTTTCTGTAACACATGAATGACGCAAATTAGTTATCGTTTTAGCTCAAATGTTTTGATTTATTTACATTTTTCTCTCTCTCACTCTCTCTCACTCACACTCTTTCAATGAAAAAAACGACTGATACAGTTTTGTTGGTAGACTGGTACATAGTAAGGTTTACTATGTTAGTTAGGTTAGTACATAGTGAGGTTAAACTAAGTAACTGGCGTGTAGATAATTCTGTAGCCGCCTTTCGGACGGTAAATTGTATCCAAAGATAACATTGTAACTATATTACGATTAAATGTATAAATAAATATTTATTCATTATTCCCTGAGAATCAAATTGTTTTAATTTTAATTATTTCCAAAGCAAAAAGGCTTTTGGTTTGTTGCACTGAAATCGAGTCCATTTGACGTATTGCAAAAGTCATAACTTGCACTTTTTTTATTATATTTTAGACGTTTATAAACATTAAGTTGTTGATTATTTTGAATTTCTTATTTAAACACTCTCCATTGGTTCATATTACCAACAAGTGGTAACATCACAAGTTTCTAATTGACACGAAAATAAAATTAGTTTGCCGTACACCTGCACGAGTTTGAAAATACCAAAACACATGGTGACCGTGAACAATTCATAGACGCTATGTTGTATAAATCAATCACTTTTTACGTAAGATTTTGTAACATTACAATTCTTATCCAATGTATGACAAGTATTATCGTTTAAGACATCACGCGTTAAATTTTATCAACTTGTCACAGAAAAATAATACAACTACAGTAAATCACTGACTCGAGCTTATCTAATTAATTCTAACCGATAACGGTTGCATATGCTATTAAGCAATAATCAATGCGAACGTTGAAGAAGACGAAACAGTATTTAATACCTTTCGGTGTGGTTAAGATCCATTCACGTCGCGATGTGCAGAATAATTAACGAACATTTATTTTGTACGCCTTAATGCCCCCGGTATATCCGGCACGAAGGATTAATAAGTCGCATAATACACAGATGTGACTGCGTTAAATAAGATTAACAACAATGAAGACCAGGAATAATATTATTAACGGTATAATATATCTTTATTAAATGCATTTTGCTCATCCGGCCTATGACGTTCCAATCGAAATTGTTTGGGAATCGAATATTTCAAAGCAAGAATGGTACCCGATGTTGGAACATACCGTTTTTACGTCGAATGTAATGTTACCATTTGTCACCACAACACGTCATTATGCGGATCACTGACAGGTTTCCTCCGAGTCTATTTTTGTGACAATCCCTACTGGGACTAGGTGTTCGTTCGCAAGTTGTACAGTGCCATGCAAATCTCATTCCATCTCATTTCTCAGTAGGATTTTCTCAGAGTAATGCATTCGGCGATGGATTTTCGTAATTGTTTTTCGTTACATTCAGTGACCGTGATGCGGCAACTTTTAGTTAACAGAAATGTCATCGAGAGATATTGAAATTTGAACGGTGTGAGAAAATTCGATAGGTACGAAAAAGGCTAAACAATGGCAAGATAGTGTCACAGTAAGTACGCGTTGTACGTAAGTCTCAAGACAACTATGATTCAATACAAATACAATACCTCGAAATAATAATGATTATACTTATAATTCATTGTTTTGTAATTGTACGAGTATAAATAGCTATTTGTTGTACACAGACGACGGTTTTCGTAACAGAGCTAGTTCTTGTCGATTGTAACCTGGGCACGTATTTTATTGCATTTCATAACAACGATACGGTTACAATATTAATTAAAATAACAATTAACATTTTGTACTACGACATCGTTAACGTTATAAAAGAATAGTCGTTCTGTTGTAAACTATTGCATTTCAAAAGACTAAGTCGATAGCGACGAATGTTTCCATCCGTTTTTATCGTTCGATAAGAAAGATGTGTTAAAAGATTCAGCAATAAGACTCACTTGGACGGGAAATGGAAACTTAAAGAGTACTTTTTTTTTTAACATTTTTAAGTGGCGTATACCGTAGTACCAGTAGTAATGTGTAACGCCGTAATGTTTTCGTACTACATAGAATCGATATGACTGAAAAAGCAATATCACCGTTTCGAGTTGAACTTGAAAACAATAAAGTTAAAAAGTCTATGTGCACCAAAAAGACACAAAATTCATGTTTTACAAAGCTGTATTATTAATGAAAAATATTTCACCGGAGTAAAAAGCAATAACCAATATCAACCAAAACTAAAGCATGTTATATAGGGCACAAGCCAGTATTTTCAAAGGAAACCAAAGACTTAAATGCAATGAGTGTTGTTATCATATATTTTATGAATTTATGAGAATAAATACTTTCACTGAAAAAAAAAAAGCTGGTGAGTCTCTTGTCACGATATTCATGTACGATATTTGAAGACCACAATAAATTTAAATTTTATATAGTTTTCAAACTTTTTTTTTTAGTGTTTTCTTCAGATCGACAAGATTATAGTAAAAAAAATCTTGTAAGTAATTCACATGTTTAATTTAAGTCTATACATGAAAGTTTTGATACAAATATATACATAACTTCGATAAAATAAAATAAAAAACTTACTATCGTGAAGACAGTGTAATCTTTTTTCAGCTCATAACCTATCATAAATAATTTGTAACATGATGGTTAGAATTTCTTTCTCGACATGAGGGACATCATATACAAATGCGTTCAATGAGAATATTTTAATTTACAGTGTACTTTTTATAGAATATATATAAATAAATGATTGATCGGAAAAAAATAATTACTTCGTGACAACCAAATAATAAGTACCTACGCCTCATGCTGATATAATATAAAAAATAAAAGTAGAGTTTTAATTTTGGTTAAAACAATTTGAAAAAAAAAAATCATTGACACAAAGGAAAAAAATATTAAAAAACGTTAAGTTCTAAAAATATAAATAACTTAAAGTAAAACTGTACAAAAAAATGTAATTTCCGAAATAAATCTTAAATGTATTATAGCATTACCGGTCGGTATTATGTATAATAATGTAAACACATTATATATTGGTGGTAAATTTCACATATTTTTACTTTTATAATTATTTTTTGTTTTTTATTAAAAAAAGACGTTTATCAATGGACAACAGGAAAAATTTGCTTGACATTATCATTGTTAAATAACTATAATAATATGGAAATAGTTATTCGAAAATACAAATAATGACTAAGGTCATCTTTCTTTTCAAATTGAGTATACAATATTATTATACGATTACACATCATACTTATATGCCGTAGCCATATTGCGTTAGTATCTGCTTATGGACAACGTTTATATCCATTTCGCGCAGTTGAACCGCGATTCCTTCAATTCACGTAATTACGCAATATGAATGACATTTTACGAACGGATATTTAAACTATGGAAACGGAACTTGTTCAATCATTTGAATATCCAAATAGCAAAAAAAAATTGTCTTTTTTCTGATAAATGCGTAAACGATTATATATTTGCTGTAAAATCATGATAATAAATCGAAAATTATCGATTATATTCACTTGTACCTACATAACATTTTTCAATTTTTTGTATCAATTCAGCACAGACAATCATACAATATTTTGTACGCTTTTTTTTGCATATAATTTAGTTTTACTGATTTTAAATGTTAAATACAATGAGAGTAATTCGTTTGAAAAAAAAAAAATGAATTTTAAACTAAAATTTATTTGTACTACACAAATACTAACCAGGTGAAAATCTTCACACCACCAACGAAATTAATACCATGATAATTGAAATATTACAAGCCAATTATAATAAATGAATAATTTCATCGTTTAGTTTTTAACATTTTTTTTTATTAAATAAGTTTTAAATATTTAAAAATAAGTAAACTCAGCATGAATATAATTTATTAGAAAAATTTTACGTTCTTCAAATAGCTGAAAAGCAATTCTTAATTAGCAAAAGTAAGAACATAATCAACGAGGAAATTAAATAAATATACTTTGGTGCTAATTATAATAATAATATTGTTTTTTTTATTATTCAAAGAGGGGCTTGTAATGACTAAATGAGAACAATAATTTTTAAATTTTTAGTTTTTTACTAAATTGAATATAGTCTTAAAATATTCTTTAAATTCGTTAAATGATGTGTTAAATTTTCAAAGAATTAAAGGAGGGGCTGATGGACCTTGGCCCCCCTTCCATTGCCATAGGACCTCGGTGAATTTTATAATAATTATAACCTAAAAATTACAAATTTTAATAAAATTACTTTTGGAACAAATTTATAAAGTTTCTTAATTATCTTAACGCCAATATGATAAAGTAATTAACCGAATGATTGATTCAATTTTGATGCATATTAACCGAGTTCAGTTTATGTGACGCTTAACGTGTGGTAATCAAAAATTTGAATAATTTCAAACCTATATTATAATTAGGGACGTCTATATCATCAACGATAATGATAATAATAATAATAATAATTATAATAATAATAATCGATACCCTAACTGAAATGGGAATTTTAATATTTAATTAAATATTAGAGATTTATAAAAAAAAGCCATTGCGGATGACTTGAAAAAATGCCTTTAAACCACCTAGATATATGCATCTACTCAAACTATCGTTTTTTATGTAAACACACATTTCAATTAGAATCCCACGTCTTTGCCGTAACCACTGTGTTCTCAGTACTCTCGATTCTACAAACATGCCCTTGGTCGTACTATTATCAATGCTGCCCACTCTGAACCAGATCCTGTGATGATCGCACAACTTCGGCGTATTTTTCTAAATCGTGCATTGGGCAACGGTAGTCGTCCGGTAAATATTTCCTGTGATGCTGTACGTGTTCAAAAATCAAAGGTTATCCCTCGGTAATCGACGAAAATACAACTCTATCCGTTAAAGTACCTACTATGATAATCTGTGTATTGTAAAAAAAAATCAAATGGTTTCCTTGTAGTACCATCATGATAAATATATTTATAACGCTCCATCTTTACTCTTTACTACTTAACTCATAGTGTCTTAACTTGATAGCTCTTATGATCCAACTACCCTCTCGTTTTTTTCGATTACAATTTCAACCCTTTTACCGAAAGTCGAATTTATTGTTAAATTTATTTCATAATACTTTTCAAATTTAAAAATTGATTCGTCAATTACTTTCAAACATCATGCTTCGAAGTATATAGACTTGTTGTTTTATTTTTTGAACCAACCATATTATTTTTCAAGATTAACATTTTAAATAATGATTGTACATCATATATATATTTGAGATAAATCTGTGTTTGAGTGTAATCGTAGCTTATGAATAGTTCATTTAAAATATAAGTACTAATCATAGGCGTGCGCATTTCAGGGGTGCCTATAATACTTTTAGGTCCTATCTTAATAAAACGTGAACACAGCTCTTTACTCTTTGTAGCACATAAATATGTACATTACTTCTTTTCTGAACTAAAGATTACATTATTGGAGCGTGAACTCTAATTCCTATGCATGAAAAAATTATTTTTACTGTAAACAATAAATTTATTTTACAAAACTGTTGTTTTACATAAAAAATCGATACAAAACGGCTGTCAACAGTTGACTGATAGTTTCAATGAGTGTGTTCGGAATACTTTGTAAGTATATTATTACAGCTCCAAAAATTGTTTAATATTTTATGAAATTATAAATGTATGTTTTTAAACTAAATTAAGAAATAAATGTTTGACATTAATCTTTTGAAGCGATTACGTTTATTGGGGCATTGACCGATTGCGCTGCATATATTTTACAGACAGTGTACCAATGCGCTGCATATATTTTAGGATCAGTGTACCAATTGCGCCTCTTATATTTGCCTGATATTTATATATCAATTGATTAATCGCTAAAGTAACTGGCTTTAATATATTTTATAGCAGTATCGGGAATTTTATGAATCACTATTATTATTACGTACATATTTAGATCATGGAAGTATGCATTTGAGTGATGAACGAAAACAAGTATTGTTCTGATGCACACAATATACTGTATATAGAATAACAAATTGATGATACCCAATACTTGCGTCTTGTTAGTCGATTAGTATTATTTTGAGTTGTTTGACATTACAATAATGATCGTTTTACAAAAGCTCTTATTGAAAAAGGTAAACCGTTATTAGTTCTTGATGAGTATAATTTTCGAAAATGTACTATCTCAAAAAAATGGAATAAAATGGAAATGTACAATTAAATCGTGTACTTCGAATTTTTTATGTGATGTAAGTGAAACGGTGCTTTTAAAATCTAACTTTGATCATAACCACGAAGCAAGTGTAAATATTAATAGAAAAATTGTTGCTAATTCGTTAAAAAGAAAAGCAATAGACCAAGTTACAACACGACCACTAAATTTAATTTGGAATGAAGTGCAATCAAGTGCGTTAGATTTGTCATTAAACGATGTGCATTCTATACGACGAAGCGTTTATCGTACTCGTAGAAAAACGCTACCACCATTACCGAAAAATGTAACCAAGTGCATACAGCATTAAATAATTTGAATACGAATACATACAACTGTGAGAATTTATTGCTTATAAACGACAATATATTGAATATAATATGTTTTTCTAAAAAATCATATTTAGAATTTTTATGTAGTTGTGACTTCTGTGATAACTGTAGTTGTTTTCCTTTGGTAATGTCAAATGTGTAGAGCGCAATTGATCTATCGACTCTAAAATTTTTAGAGCACAATTGGTATATCGACCATTAAATGTTTAAAGCGCAATTGGTATATGAAAAGGTAATTTTAAGCGTAATTGATAAACTCCCGTTTATTGTTGTGTTAATGTGTGCGATGAAGTGTAAAAAGTATTTTGTTAATAATATTAATCGTAAGTTTTCCGTAACAAAATAGAAAATCGTCAACTTCAAAACGTTATTTTGAATTTTCCCAAAACATGTATATTTTTCGGCTTTTGTACATTATCACTGTAAGTCATTAATTATTTAACTTTTATCATGTGTTTGGTTATAAATGCACATTTATGATACTTACATATTTTTGTGTCGAAAGTTTGAAAATGTTTTTGATATAGCCCCGAAGAGACTTTTTAAGAAATATTTAAAACTCAACAGTTATTAAAAATACAATACGTTTTACTTTAATGACGTTGTATAAAATATACAATTATACAATGAAACAATAAAACCAATACTGTTAATATTACGGTCACAGTACAAGTATTTAAAATTATTTATAGTTATACATATAGAGACGAAAAAATCGTGTTAACCCGATGTCGGGTAAATTAATTTTGTATTAATAACCAATTCATAAACTATTCAATAAATAATAAATTCAGCGGTATACGCATCCTTTAATGAACGTTAAACAAATTTCGATACGAAGAACACTCACTTGTTGGATCGTTTTAATAGTTATGAATAAAATATAAAATCCGGTAGAAAATTGTTTACCAAATATTCAATACCTGAATGAAACACGAATATATTGTATAGCTAAGTTTACAAATAATACTTTTTTAGATTAAAAGTATAGGTTTATTATAAAAACTATCGAATAAGTTTGTTTAGTTTCGAATGGGTGAATCTGCATTGTTTACCATTTTTAAATGTATTTCCCGAATAATCTTGGTCTTCTTCTTCTTCTGGAGGAGATCTCCATGTACCAAAACCTCTTCCGCTGTTGTCTAACCATCGAAGTAGATCATTTTCAGTCTCGTCGTACGAACTTTTTTCGGCTGCTATAAGTGTTGTGACTAATACCAATAATAACACCCACTGCAGTGTCATAGTGGTTAATGCCTTTAGGCCAAACCACTTCGCAAATTCTGAAATTAAAAAATATATGCTTGTGTTATTCAAAATGTTTGGATAAAGGTAATGTATTTTAGTTCACAGAATAAAATTAACCTTTCTTCCAATCGATTAATTTCGTTTTTAAGCATTGATGAGGCGATATATGTATTATTTACACGCAAATCTCTAAAAGTGAACTATATGTTATTCGTTTGAAATTTATTTTAATATTTATTTATATACAGTTACATTTAGTGTATATAAATAAAATTGCAACCTCATGGGTTATTGGTACAAACGAAATGCGCTCGAAAATATTTTTATTTTAAAAATCTACAACTATCGTTGCAGGTACGAAAAAATTAATTTAATTAATGTGAATAGGTAATAAAAAATGATAATGAACTTGTAATTTATTGTGTTATCAGTGCAATTTTAGTCTCTGCCGAAGACGTCAAATTTTAATTATATTTAATTATACATTAACCAATTCAGGTTAAGGAGTGTAATCGTTTTAAATTTAATAGTATATCATTTAATTAATGGTTTATACTTAAATTGAAGAAAAAAAAAAAAGTAATAAATAAATACAAAACTTTTTAATTTTAAATTAATTTTTAATTTTTAAGTAGTGTTGTAATGTTCTAGAATTAGGCCGGCGTTCGCGCAGTCGCAGATCGGCTGATCTGAGTAGTGTGGATACGCGCGTTTATTTTATTATACGTCCCGCGAACTTTTTCTCCGCTGTCGACTGGCGAACGCATAAAATATTACAATGCGCCAAGCACGTCATTATTATTCAAACGTTACCGTTTTTCTTATTATTCGAAATAACAGCCGGAATCGAACTTTTTTAACGGCGCCCGCGTAACGGTATTTCAAGCGGTACTCTATAGAATCGGTATAGCGTTCCTTTCAACAACATTTAAATTTTGCCCGTCATACAATGAACAACATGGTCGGGTAGACGCATGAATACGACACGTCTAATAGAGACACATACGCCGGGTAATGATAGTTTGTTTTACTCTTACTTCGACCGGCATTCCCATGCACGAAAACAAATCCCGTGTAAACTTATCGTTTCAGTAACCGCCCACCGATGTATCGAGAATCGGCTGTCACTCGGATGAGGTTAATGTTTAAATGCCGTATGTCACGAGGGTGGTTCTGAAACCCTCGTTGTTGATTGTTGTTATATTTTTTTGTATTTCGATTTTATTCTATTCGAGTTTTGTGCCGTATAAGCCATCGCATCAAATTTAAAATATTCTTCAAATTAATAACATTTACAATCGATAAAATTTCTTTATTTGCTTTCCCATTCCTCCGACTTTGTAACAAAATTAAAACAAAATATCTCGTGATCCGGCTAATATCTCGACTGCGAATTGGTGATCCATGATTTGAGATCAGTCACATAATGAGTATAATTCTAATACCGAAAATGATCAACTAATTCATAAACCATTGTCTCCTCAAATTTTTGTTCGCGAAACATTTGATTTCTTCAATTTCGAATGATCTATTTATTATAATTTATCATAGTTAATTATCTATTATAGAACATTTTATATCCAAATTATCGTCAAAAAGTTTGAAAGTTTAAACTTAATTAAATCCTCCCAAAAATAACTTAACAATATTGTACTAAAACTGTTAACATTTATTTTTATAATCTATTATTTAGTTCTAAATATACTTTATTTTTAGTATTTTTTTTTTCAACAGGGGAGCGCTTACCCCCAATGTTCCTCATTCTAGTTCTACCCATGGTATAGTGTATTAATTTAACACTTAATAATATTTGTATATATAATATGTAATTGATATATAATAGTCATGTAGAGTATATACTATTGGATCAGTATATATTATTTGTGTCCACCTTAATATTGAAACTAATAACTACCATTAAAATTAATTTAATCGAATTTATAATTAAATTTTTATACCAACATTTCGAATATTTGTATAATCTGTATAAACATATTGAATTGAATAATTGATTTTTCGATTTTTAGAATTTTCCATAATTCATACACTAAATTTTTAATTTAACTACAAATTATACAAGTATCCTTATTTATTTCAAACAAGAATATATCTAACATATTTAGTTTACTTGCTAAAGACATTTTTTTTTTCTAATTTGTTGTATTTTATATTCATTTTTATTTTAAATATTATTTAATAATATGAAATAAAAACATTGCTAAAATGTTTGATTGAATTTGGGTTTTATGTCGATTTAAAATTTAAATTGATTTATATTATTCGACACATAAATCAATGAACCGAAATCACTAGAAATTATAGTAAAATTTTACATATATTGTAACCATGGTTATCTATAGATAAAATTAGATATAGTAGGTAAAATAGATAACCGTGATAGTAACGTATTCAAACCCTAAATGTTGTGATAATGAAAGAAGAAAAAAATTCCAATTTTGTTAAAATAACCTATAATTATATTACAGTAGACTATAAACTCAAACAAAGTACGATAACGATTTTTAATATTTTAACGTTCATTAATCATCTGATACATTTTAAAATTAAATTAAATGAAACTGTCATTTATCGAATAATATAATACGTGGACATTACACTTTTATGATTTAAATTAATGTTAGCATTAAAGTAAATGGATATTTAAATAATATACATAAATTATTTTTTTATCACTGTGACGTAACTAAAAATTTATAATTTATAATACAATATTTATTTTGATTTTTAAGCAAATAATTTGATAGTTGTCAACATTTATTTTGAATATATCAATATAGATATAAGTACTTATAATACAAGCTTGTCGTGTATCGGCAAAAGTGGTTTTAGATTTTATCAAACATTTTTTTTTTTTTATATAAGACAAACATGTTTATTCTATCCAGTCATTCGTCTGAAGTCACTATTTATTTAGTTAGTGTAAACGCTCAAGTGGGCTCAAGTACAATTACAATAAAATATATAATAATAACATTGTTAGAATAAAGATACAAGTACAATAGTAGAATTAATCAAGTACATAATATTAAATTAAATTTACAAAATATATATAAAGAGATAATTTTAGTGATATGCATTAGGCTGCTGAAAATGGTGTTTTAAGTAATAAAATTTATTATTAATAAACAAATCAAGTTTTAATTTATTACATCACAATTATTATCACCAATCGATGCTCTTTAATATCCAAAAACTAAATGATTCGAAAGTTTGTGAAGTTTTTCAAACAATTATATTAGATGTGATAAAGAAAGACTATCAAGGCTTTTATATGAATAATGATGACATAAAAATATTATGGTCGGGAATAAAGAACGTAATTCAAAAATAAGCGGAAAATACAGTGGGGGTACAACGACGGATAAAGAGAGGCCCTGGTTCAAAAAAATATGCGAAAAAGTATTTCAGTGACGAAAACTGGTTAGGGATAAGTGGCCAAATGATATACACAACATAAAAATTATCTCGATACAAAACGAGACAATGAAGGAACAAGCAAAATAATAAGATGTGAGAAAAGAAAATGTATACAGGATATAGTTAGAGAAGCGGAACTTGACTATAAAAATCATAAATCAAAAGATCTGTATAGAAAGATAAAAACCTTACATAAAATTTTTAAGCCAAACGAGAAATTCCTAAGAAAGTCATATTACAATATAATATATAGTTTATATTAATTATGTATAAGCTGTGGACCCCCTCCAGAAAAAATTGAAAATACGCCACTGATATATATATATATATATCTTATATGAGCATTAATATGAATATGAATATATTAATATGAACTATATCAAAAATTAGCATTTCAATTATAGTATATCAAATTAGTGCTTCAAGTGTGATCACCATTCAACAATCACTGGTTGTAAATGTCAACATTTACCAACTTCAATCATACACCATAATACATGTATGCCGACGTTTACTAATATAAATAAATAAACAAATAAATCGTTTTTTAAGAAAATAATTTTAAACGGTAACGTAACAATACGTTAAACAATAATATGGTTAGATAATTTCTTTCTAGTTTTATATAATGATAACTATTGTAATTATTTATGACTGTTTAATAAATTGTAATATCTGAAATTAATTATTGCTGTGAAATTTAAATCCTTTCATCTTCTAACATCGACCATGATATTCTAAACGTACACTAAGTATTAACCCGTGATCACTCGCATGACGTACAAATTCATAGTTACTCGCACGCGGAATAATGATCCGCATTTAGTTAACTCATAAAAGAAATATATATAAAACTAATAAATTTTAATTTAATTCAATGTTAATAATTAAGTATTTATTATTACTCATTTTTCATACATTTTTAAAGTAAGTAAGATGAAATTTTTATTTTATTTTACTATCAATTTTACATAAATAAAAAAAAAAAAAAAATTAAAAATAAAATACTGCATATTAGATTCTTCCTCTAACAAGTCAGCAATTTGATTTTTACCTATTCTAGCCATTTTTGGTTTTAAATTAAATTAAAACATTAATACATAAATCGAGTAAAAAAAAGAAAAAATTGGAAATAATCGAGGTACTGTAGTTTAGATAATACGTATGTATGTTATTACTTGCATGTGAAAATATAGACAACACAACAATTATTACTTATATGTCACCGGTCCAACTAATCGAAATATGAAATAAACCAACTATTATTACTTCTTTATATGACCATTAAAGGTATACTTTCTACCTACAGTGATAAACACAACAACTTTTCTATAAATAACGCAAATGTTTTATCTGCAGAACACTTTTCCGCGTGCCAGTGACCACAGGTTAAAAAAAAAAAAAAAAAAAAAAAAAATTATTAACGTCTGTTTATAATTCACGGGATGTATAGAATATTCCCCAAAAAACTTTCAAAAAGTAAAAAAACGCCAAGCTTAAAATTAGATTTATTATATTCTTGCAACGACAAAAACCTGTCCAAAAAATGCACTGATATCAACATTATCCAAGCTTTTAATTTACGAGGTACTTTAAC